AAAAAAAAAAAAAAAAGAAGAATGCAAGCTGTGAGGAATTTAAAAACTAAAAGAACTTGGCTTTCAGAATATATGGTAGAAAAGCTAAGTTTAGATAATAGGACAAAGAGATTGTCCTATTGGTCCCCTGACCAACTGATAATGTTTTTTTGTTTGTTTCAGACACTGTCTTACTCTGTTGCCCTCAATAGAGTACTGTAGCATCACAGCTCACAGCAACTTCCAATTCTTGGGCTTAAGCAATTCTCTTGCCTCAGCCTCCCGAGTAGCTGGGACTACAGGTGCCTGCCACAACATCCAGCTATTTTTTGGTGCAGTTGCCACTGCTGTTTTAGCTGGCTGGGGCCAGATTTGAACCCATCACCCTCAATATATGGGCCAGCGCCCTACCCACTGAGCCACAGGCACCACCCAAGAATGTGTTTTATCTAATGGTAATATATAATTTTCCAATAATCTGTTTTAGTTAATGATTATGGGTTGGGCACAGTGGATCACACCACTCTGTAATCCTAACACTTTGGAAGGCTGAGGTATGAGAATCACTATGAACTATGATTATGCTACTGCACTCCAGTCTGGCCAATAGAGTGAGACCTTATCTCTACTAAATAAATAAATAATTATGTTGGTGATACCTAACACTTATTTAGTGCCAAGTATTGCTAAAAATACTTTAAATATAGTAACTGTGATTTAACCTTCACAATAAACCAATAATGTAGATTCTGCTATCACACCCACCTTTTATATAAAGAAAATGAGGCAAGAGCAGTTACATCATTTGACCAATGCCTTTTTTTTTTGAGACAGAGTCTCACTCTGCTGCCCAGGCTAAAGTGCCATGGTGTCAGCTCCGCTCATAGCAACTTCAAATCCTGGGTTCAAGAGATCCTCCTGCCTCCTTCTCCCCAGTAGCTGGGACTACAGACACCTGCCATATGCTGTACAATTTTTTTTCTATTTTTAGTAGAGATGGGGTCTCGCACTTGTTCAGGCTGGTTTTGAACTCCTGAGCTCAAGGGATCTGCCCACTTCAGCCTCCAAGAGTCCCAGGATTACAGGTATAAGCCACCACATCTGGCTTTACCAAGGTCTTATAACCGACAAGAAGTGGAAGACTCAAACCCACGTGATCTGAGTCCAGATTCTATGCTCTTAATTGCTAAGTACAATGCAATGCCTTATTTGTCATTAAAGTAAAAAGATTTTGTTTGGTTTGTGGTAGCCAGGTTGTCTCGGGTACCTATAGTCTCAGCTATTCAGGAGACTGAGGCACTGCAGAGTATCTCATGAGCCCAAGAGTTTGAGTTTGCTATGAGCTA